AGGTCCCATGAATCACTGCTACATTTGTAGTTGATACCAGGCAGCAGTGCTGGGGTTTGTGTTTGATAGCTCTGATCACTTAAAGTGATCCGTTTCACTGGGGATTTTCTGTGTGTGCTGTTGAATCCCTGCCTGTAGCTCTGATAGCAAATCTGGTCATGGATCACCGTGCTGCACTCTTTTTCTTGATGTTTTGGTGCCTGGGGCAATTTTCTTAGTAACACATGACTCTGCCCGAGTTTCCTAATTCCAGACATATAATGGCTTTGGTCTAACTTTTCCTTACATTCTTTTGGTCTTCCATCATGGTTACAGTTGTTTACTTAAGACACATATTTTAGCAATTTTGAGATGTTTTCCTGTTTTACTCTATGCACCTCAGCTCCTTCTTATATCTAATTCASAGATTTATAAACTGGGGGATGAGGTCATTGCCCTCACTTGACTGCCCTCCTACATAACAGAAATCACAGTGTCTGGAATTAATCTCTGGAGATATATATTTTTAACTGTTGTTTTCCAAGAAACTGCAGAATCACTTAAAATTTTATCTGTGACTTGTAGTATGGCACACATGAACATGCTTTTCTCTGTTGCCTTTACARGCTTTTTAGAAGTGATCAGCAGACCACATGTGTCCCTAAGCATAGCTTGAAACCACTTGACTGATTTTAGGAAAACATCAAATCTTGCCTTTCAGATTTTCAGTRGTGAAGATCTTTGAAACTTCCATGGCTTTACACTGAAAAGTGTCTGTTTTACTTYTAACCTTAATTTGTCAATCTCCAGCTTTCACCTTGATATGTCATTGCCCACGAGACAGAACAGCCTTCTAGAATCAATATCCTACCTCCGGGAGGTAGCTGTGACCCCTCTGATTTTCTCCTTGACAAGCTAAATGGTTTGCAATTTTTTAAGCTTTTTCCTGAGTGGCATGTTTCTCAGCCTCCAGCCAACCCTGTGGTTTTCTTCTCAGTGTTTTTCGCTTTATTGTGATCCTTTCTAAGACTTTATTCACAGGAACTCGATGTAGCAGTCTGATAATAACAGAAGAAAGCATAATGTTCCTACTCTAATTGCTATTCCCTTYTTCAAATAAATATTCAAGGGTCCCAGAGAAAACTCACAGAGATCTTGGGTTTTGTTACTTAATTAAYGTAGTTCAAATGTTCTGGACAAACAGTACACCTGTGCTCCATAGAAAAACTGTGACACTGAAGCATCTCCCAGTCATCACAGGATAACAGAGATGSCTACAGCCCGTTGACTTCCATGATCATCCATCCCCATCATTYTTTTCTGCATCAATGCTTTCTGAGATTAACTACTCTATTTTATAACTACGAACTGTTCCCTGTACTCTCTCCATAGTCAGTGGAGAGGAACTGGACATTCCACCCTGGCACAACTGTCTAAAACATCTGGGCTACAGTGCCCTCTGATGGGTATCGAGTTCTCTCCATCAACAATGAGAACCCAGCTAACACCAGGCACTTTCAGAGGACTAAAATGAGGTGAGGTGTATGCCACGGGGCACTGGGCAGTGCTGCCAGTGGCTGTTTTAAAGCCTAAGCTGTGCCAGGGCTCAGCTTTACAGTTATATCCAATATCTACATGTCTGTCTCTGTATAACACCAGTGCTGTAAACCATCCTGTTGTAATTCCCCCAAAGTTTTTGTTATTTTCAAAAGTCATCAGTRATAACTGCATTTTTCCCAGGTGATYGTTGAAAATGCAAATCAATGTAGAAGTAAAAAATTAGCCTAAGTGGCACTCTCAAAAAGAATCCATTTAAAAATGTTTTTCTTTTTCATAAACATTTTAAGCCTGTCATTTAAGAAGTTTTGAAAACATTATGTATGCATGGTTTTCATTTCACATGATTCAAACTGTGCAGTACYAGTTGCTACCTTATGAAATCCATAATTTCATGCTATTCTGCTTGTCAACCAGATTTCCAAGTTAGCATGATAAGACTTTCCAGGTTGATTAAAAGTAATTATATTATTTTCTTTTTAATTTCTATTAATTGAGTTTCATACCTACTGTGAAGACTTTTTATTAGGATACCAGGTGAGCTGACAAATTTGTAATTACCTAGCTTATCACACTTATACATCAGTGTGTCCTTTTGTGCAGTAACCATGACTTGCTGTAGGTCTTCCTGTAGAAATCACCTGATGCTTTAAATTGTCCCAAGCATGTAGAATGCAGATTAGCCAATGTGCTAGAATGTTTGCCAGAAAGTAAAGACCCAGTGATGTGCTTATAAAAATATCTGAGGGTAATCCAAACTTCTTACTCTGACAGGGTGAAGTCCTGACACCTTAATATAAAGGTATTCTTTTGGTTTTTAGTAGGTTTAGATGTTTTTAAAGTGAACTAAGAAGCAACAGTCACACGTACACAGGCTTTTCCTAAGGAGGTCTACCAATGCAAGTCAGTCTTGCTTCTCTGTCCCAAAATCTTTCTGTACACTTGTACATCAAACTGGAAAATCTGGGATTTTTTTTTATATTAGGGCTAAAATAAATATCTAGTAATTCATAGAGCTATGCCTCTGTTTCGGACCCCATGATATTAGTCCCTGTTTTCTGGCTTGAGAAAGAGACTTGTCCCTTCTGCCACAAAAATATTTTTTGCCTCAAGAGCAAAGAATGGCACCATCCCATGCTTTGCACAGGGAGAAACAAAAATGTACTGTGAGCATATGATAGGATTTATACACAGTTGTTCTTAGTATATATTAAAGCCACTGCAGGTGAAATCCACTTGCCTGTCTTCATCATAATTTAGTTTATGAGGCCTCATGTTGTTTTGCTTGAAAATTCTCTAAGCAACCAAATATCTCTGCTACATAAACAGGAATTTTATCTTATGTATCACAACAGTATGTACTCTTAAAAGAAAAAAGAAAAAAAAAAGTGCTGAGGAAACCACAATTCTGTGCCCTGGCCAGCTTGAGGAAGTTTAAACTTATAGCCTCTATCAAGTCAGGGAGCACATCAGCCAAATAGCTGTGGAGTGCTTCAGGCAAAAGCCTCTTCTACACTTCTGTTAAAGCTGGACTTGTGCAACCACGGAGGCATGGAGCCAGAGAGACCCTGCCTCCAGCCCCTGGTCTTGGGAAGACGTATGAATCTTATATAAGGAAATTTAARTGGATGAAGTCAGATACAGAAAGAGAAACGGCCTTGGAAACAGTGCCCTTTCTTGACTGAATTACATGACTGCTCAGATACTATCAAAATACCTTTCATCTGATTTTTAGTTGGAAGGTAATCTGTCCTTCTCTCTTTCTCCTCTACCATAAATTGACCACTCCCCCAAAGAAAACCAATTACAGGTTCCAGCATCCTGACTCAGGAAAAAAAAAAAAAAAAAAAAGAGGGCAAGACTTCACCAAGGGGTTGCGGTAAAGGTCAGGGTATTGACCGCCTCCTTTTATTTTAAAACATACCTGCACTCCAAAGAGATCTGGGGAGCTAGGATTCTATTGGCATTTTCTGGCAGTTCCTTGTAAGGTAACGGCAAAGAGGGAGACACACTGACTGGATGAACAGAAAACATCTCCCAGGCTCCCCCATACTCATTTGCTGTGTCCTCTATTTGGCTTTCTCTTTCTATAAGGATGATTGAGTTGGCCACCCTCCCTCTGATCACCCAGTTCCCACCCTGAAATGGGCACCTAAAATATGGGCACATCTGCTCACAAATGAAGCACTGTTGGAGCCTTTCCATTATCTATCACATGGGAGCAGGATTAGGTTCGCTGTCAGTTTTGGGGAACATGAAAGGGATAAAGATGTATGAATTATGCATAACCGAATTGCACCCTACTGGCTTCTTAAGACAYACAAGATATTTCAGTCCCATTGTCATCCTAACATGCTCTTGGAGAAAATGCTTCACACAGCCAKAGGCAGTCCTCGGAGTGTAGCAGGACTCATCCAAGACTCCTGATACAGCACCATATTGACATTCTTCTGCTAGTGACGTATGTTTCATGTTGTTAAAGATCTGGCAGCGTGTAACAGTTTGTTAGACTGGCTAAGACTGCATGAATTGTTGTAAGAAATAAACTGAGCAGGGAAGAATTTATTAGAGAACTGTTAAAACTGAGCGGGTTTTTTTCTGCATCTTCCTTTTGATTATTTTCATTGCGGTTAATGGAAGGAAAAAGGGTATTAAACTAGCAATCTGATCACAACCCTCACATAACTTTGGTTTAKAYCTAAACTCTTCCAGGCAGTAATACRATCTTTTAATACCAGACCCACTTTAATATGGATCGAAATTAGCAACCACTAACTTTTWATGAAAGGCTTTGCACAGTGCTTGGCGTGACAGAAGTCCATATATTTCTCCCAGCGACAGCTGCGGGTTGTTCACCAGTTATCCCACCAAGCGTCCTCACCCACCCTGGCACAGCTCGGAGATTCGAGTCATTCGGCCCAGGGTGGCCACCGCGGGCCCGAGGGTGACGGGACGGTCGGGTGCGTGGCCGCTTTGCTGGCGGAAAGCCCTTGGCACACCGCTCCATCCCTACCCACTCGCCGGGAGCCCGGCGCTCACTCCGCACCGGGGACAGCCCCCTCCTCGCACCACCCCTCCTGCCACTTTTTGCCCGGAGTGGAGACGGTGCGGCCGGCAGCTCGGGGAGGGCCCGGGCACCGCTCCCGCCCCCTTCCCCCCTCCGGTCCCCGGCG